CATTCCGCTCAAAATGATGAAAAAAACAAACTGCATTTTTTTCTTACACACTTTTAATTTTGCGTTGATTAGCATTGCGAATACACAATAGGGATGTGACATATATGAACCATAACAGTACATGTATAATTTTCTTGTAATTGGAAATGAAGCCTGTTCAATTTTGTTTTAATACAAATAAAATATATAAACAAATTGTGGAATTTTATTTCATAGGCAATTATTTCGAATCAAAAGAATTCACAAATAAAAAATTTCAGCAACCAGCATACATGATGATCAAAATTTGAGATGAAACCAGCGAAATAAGTTTGCTCAGTTTTCAGTCTACTTTCGAAAAAAAAAATTCACACAATTTAAAACAAGGTACGGACAGACACACAAAGACTCCAAGCGACCAATTTTGAGGTTTTGGCCATTGTTGGCGAATTGATCATATCTCGGCCACTTTTCAACCGATCGTGATGATCTTTTTTTTTAACATTATCTACGCGATCCCTTAATTCCGAATATGGCCATATTTTTTTCCGAAAAAATAATTTCGGTGGTCAAAAATCGAAAAACATGAATTTTCTGAATTTGGGATTTTTTTCAAAATGCCACCTGGCCAAATTTTGAAATAAAAAAAAAATTGGGGATTCTTAATTTGGTGCCCAAGCACTACTAAAATATGCAAAGAACCCTTTCCAAAAGTCAGCGGTTTTCATGTCTTTAGCGTATACATCATAGATTCTGACCAGGGGGTCCAGGGTACAAAATACCCCCCCCTGAGCAACGAATTTACCCCCTCTGTGATTTTGAAAGTACCCACTCCCATTTTTATTTTCGAGCAAAAATTATTCCGATTTGCTGAGGTTTTTCAAAAATTCAATTTTCATATTCGAATGTCCGACTAAACAAAATTTATTTATTCGCCGTAGACAAAACAATTAAGTCCGGTCAACTGTTTGATTATTTAATTGATTAAGTTCGATCAACTATATTGTTTATGTCTCAGTTTTTGCACATCTGCATTTTCGAATCAAATTATTATCGGCGATTGATATGATTACTCCAAAGAATTTAAATTCATTGCGAACTCACCTCGAGTCGAAGTGTGTAACAACTTCAAATAGACGAAAAAAAGATATAATGCGCATTAGAATAAATAGTGTGAATGAAATAGAAAAGTTCGCTGCAAGCAAGTACGCAAATGAATTTATAAAACAAAAGCATTATCGAACGGATGACCCGAAAGGTCGCCGAAACAAAGCTGTATCTTTGACAGAAGTCGAGGATAAGGCAAAAAAATTCTTGCCGAAACCATCATTTTTGTGAAATCATCAAATTAATTACATATTAATGAAGTGGAAATGAAAAAAAACTTGTATCTTTAATTTTAATAAAATAATGTAATAATATTAGTGATTACTGGAATATGTCATAATAAAAATTTCAAATTTTTTTTCGGTCTCAACTTTTTTTCCGAAAGCAAATTTACACTGGATAGAATGGACTTTCAAAATTACCCCCCTTCAGATTTTCTCAAATTACCCCCCCCTTAAATCGTCAACTCCAGAATCTATGGTATACATAGAGTGACGCAATATACATATTTCATATGTATGTTGGTATTGCGTTACTTAAGGGACTGCCGTCCCCCGTGATACAAGTTTAGCCACCTTTATTCATACACAATCCGGTAGTTATATTAAAATTACCCTTTTTGCGGCATCAATAAGCTCTTAGTCCAAAATAGAAAGACAGGAATAATAAAAAAAACCGATATTGCTTTCATTATCGCAACAGAAACGCCCAATACTATTTCAAGTTGAGAAAACTCTTATTGAGGAGGAAGTGTAAAAACCGTATAGCAGTTTGGTTATAATACATCCGAAATCCACCTTGATTTCCTTTTGTCAGTCAATATCATGAAATCGGAATTGTTTGAAATAAATATATGAATTACTTTAACCATCAATCAATTGTGAATTCGGAAATTGGCGTACATCGATGTACGAGTATCTGGACTAATAGTATACTTTTTATTTGAATGATAAATCATTTCATATCATTCATTTTAGGCATTTTTGAAGTGGCGGAATATGATGGTGTTGCTGATAAAATGATGCAAGTTATATTATGCTTTCGTTTTGAGTCTGACTCATAACATGTTTTCGATTGAATGAAAAAAACTTTTGTTACACAACAATTTGATAGATTTCCGTTATGTGTATAAGCAGCTCGTCGACAGAAATTCGCACTTCCCTTCATTCAAAATAAGCATCTTATTTTTTTAATTTGTGTCTCTATTGTCCTGGTGTCAAATTCTATTCCAATTAATTTATGAAGCTACTTACGTTTTTGCAAAATATTACAATAATAAATAAAATTCAATATGATAAATAAATAAATCACAATAAATCCACCGTATAATGAATATATTGTAATTTTATGCAATAATTATTTGTACCCTGTGGTATGTGTATCAAAAATTGTTGACCGTAAATTGTATATAATGAGTTGAGCCATAAATCAATCGAACCCACTAAAAACGGTTCCATCTACTTGGGCCTGAATCGATGTTCAATCAGATGTTGTCATCGCCATCAGTGCGTTTGATCGATAAATCATAACAATCACGGCATAATTATGTTGAAAAATTCTACCAAATTTCAAAATGGACAAAAAAAAACTCCAAGCAAAACGAAAACCAAAACAAAAACTGTCCATTTAATCGATGCCATAAATCTTGCGAGTTTCACACATTCATTTATTCGTCAACAGTTGACGATTGCTATATTTATCGCTTCAACGGAAACAAACGACATTTTTCACCGTGACTGGATGGTGTGTGCGCGTGTAACAAGTCGCGCACTTGCAAACCAAAACACTTTCCATGTATGGACCATTCAGTTGATAGGTCTTGGCAAGCGACTTAGTTAGGTCCCGGGTCGCGATACATTTTGCATTAGGTAATTGATTTTTTCTTCGTCACTTTCGTACAATTGGTTGGAAAAGAAAAATGCCAAAGACATAGTCTAATAATCAATATGCACTTTTGCTTGGCTGCGAACTGAAGACAAAATTGATATCTGTTTTGAGCGTTTTATTCTATATTGAATAAATATTTAATGATATTTCGAAATTGCACGAAAAAAAAAAAACACCAAATACCATTCACATTTTGATGTGAATGTCGCAGAGTGTGCGTAACTTTTATGTTCGTTAATTAACTGTTGGCTGCTTTGCGCGCCTACCAAATACCGATTACTTCTCAATGCAGTCGGAAAACGTGTGCGAAACGTGTGCAAAACGTGTTCGATTTTGTTTTTGTTTGTCTCTAAAAAAAAATAGATTGAAAATAATATAAACACGACAATTGCACACACACCGCACAAGTGAAATGTAAGAAATCACATCAGAAATTAATCGAATACGAAAATTCAATTTCGGAATTTCGAAGCATGATTTGACGCTAGCAACAAGTTAAATAAATTGTTTCTTTTTTTCTTTCTGTTTTGTTTCTTTTCTATTTCCATTGCAAAATTTTCGCACGTTGCTCATTTTTTTTCTAAATTGCGTCGATCAATTCTTATTCACTATATGAATGCGTGAGCGCGAGCAATGTGTCCCACCCGTTTCAATGCATCTTTTGTGTGCAATTTCAATTTACGTTTGGTGTGAGTTTGTTTGTTGCACGCGTGGTCTCCATTGCATTCGGTCGCTATCGATCAATTCAATTAAGATATAAGTTCATAAATATCGACAGAGCGTTATTAAATTGCCAATCGATTGAAAGAATTTCTTGTATGATTATCCGCAACTCCAACGGTCACAGAAATAATAATAATTTGCCTTTTTTGGCCATATTACAGAACCACGTATCACATACATTAATCATAAAATCGTTTTCACGATCGTTGAAAGTCAAATAGATACCAAGGGTCAGCCGTCGCACGTGTGATGAAACTTTTTTATTCAATTCACATCTGATGGAATTTTTATATTTCCATAAATGTACATTTGATCACAACATTAGATATTTCGATCAAGTGGAAACGATTTTTTTGCGGTTTATGAGGAAAATTGTTTCACCAAATTAAGACCATTAATTAAATATACCTGCTATTCTAATTAAATAACGGAGGCGGCAAAATAGTACCGTACTTGGTGAATTTAATTAAAAACTTGTATGAAACTATCCATTTCGACGAGGAGATCGAAAATGCGAAAATATTTTTGTCAATTTCATGGGAAATCTCAACATCAGATATTCTCGTGCTTACGGCTTGATATAAACAAGTTTGATTTTCGTCCATGTTGTGCGAATGCTGAACTTAGAAGAACCTTTATTCTCGATTTAATATTAAAACTTCGAATGTGGAGCGAATGACAAGTTTTTTTTCTAGTGAGAAGTTTAATGGTTTCGTATTAGTTTGTTAAAATGTGGACAGCACACAATATAATTGTGTTTTTGCTGAATTTTGATTATGAAAAACTACGACACATGATTTATCAATTTACACCTTTTTATCCCATCCAAATTACATCACATTAATGTCAGAAAATGTCACAGTGAACAACAGTTGAGTTGCATTAACGGATCTTTATCGATTGTAACTCACTTGAGGGCTATTAGAATGTAATTTATTTATAACAAAAATGTAAACTCATGTTAGTGTCAACAGCTATTAGAATTGATCTAGATCTTTATCTTTTAATATTCTTTGTCGAGTCGTAGAATAAAGAAGAAAAAAACAGGTGAGTTGAAGGCAATGATAAAATTGAAGTTTTAATCAGCAGTAAGATCAGATAAATGACTTTTAGCACGTGAAAACGAGAAAGAAACGTTTTGTGGAACTGTTATTCATTTGCCATAGTCTCGTTAATTATTTATAATTTATATTGAGCTAAAAAAAAAGAAGAAAAAAAAATTTGTTCATTTCTATCATTTTTTTTTGTGTAAAAATGTTCAAAACTTGCTGCTCATGCAGCCAACTTCATGTCAATTTCCGTCAATTCTAGAGAGTGGTACAATTGGCAACACTTGCAATGACAGTGGTTCGGCATTCCCACTATTTATAAGCAATGTCAAGCTTTTTGGCTAGCTGTCAAAGGTGTATACAGACTCAAATAAATGTGAAACAATGCCGACTGAATGGTGACAATATCAATCGATTCAAATAAATTAATTCCAAGCAAAATTCATTGAGTTTTTTTTTCAAATTATAAATACACATATACGCTATGCGTCTGGTCAAGCCGACATTTGTGAATCACAATGGTGAGTGTGAACAATGAAATGCCTTGTATAAAAATAAACAACCGGCGATTGTGAATGTCGTCAAAACAATAATTACTTTAATGGTCAACATTTAAAATGTGTGATGTCATTGTTTAGGAAATCCGATATTTTCCATTGATATACATCCGGATGGTAGTAGATTTGCCACAGGTGGTCAAGGCAATGATGCCGGCTTAGTTATAATCTGGAATTTGTTGGCCGTCATTGATGAGAATGTTGAAAACAACAACAATGTTTCGAAGATACTCTGCCAATTGGACAATCATTTGGGTATAGATTTTTTGTCAATTTGTTTCGTTTCATACCAATTTTCAATTTATTAAATGCGAATAAACCTTCGTTTAGCTTGCGTGAATTGTGTACGCTGGTCATCAAATGGAATAACACTGGCATCGGCCGGTGATGAAAAAACGATTATACTTTGGAAACGTAGTCAAGCTGCACCGGTAACGGTGTTTGGTAGTACAGGACAACAGAAATGCGTAGAAAATTGGCGATTGCAAACAACACTTCGTGGTCATTCAGGTGATATACTTGACTTGGCCTGGTCGCCACAAGATCGATATTTGGCCAGCAGCAGTGTTGACAACACCATTATCATATGGTGCATGAATAATTTTCAATCGGTCACAACACTTAAGGGGCACAGCGGATTGGTGAAAGGCGTCGTTTGGGATCCGGTCGGTGCATTTTTGGCATCACAAAGTGATGATCGAACTGTTCGTGTTTGGCGAACGAAAGATTGGAATTGTGAAAAAGTAATCAGCGAACCATTTGAAGATTGCGGCGGTACAACACACGTTTTACGATTGTCATGGTCACCGGATGGTCTCTATCTTGTCTCAGCACATGCTATGAATGGAGGTATGCATTTTCTTCTGGATTTCTTTCTCTCTCTTTTCACTTCTTTCTTTCTCTTCACCTATCACGTTCTCTTCCTTATGATTTCTGTTCTTTTTTTAAAAAATAAATTACTCACTTTTAATACTTGAATTTTGTTTTATTCAAGGTGGTCCAACCGCCCAAATTATCGAACGAAAAGGTTGGAAATGTGACAAAGACTTTGTCGGTCATCGAAAAGCGGTTAATTGTGTGGTAGGTTCTTTCTGAAGAAAATACAACAAACCGAATATTAATAAAACTCCCTTTTCAGCGCTTCAATCAATCAATTTTCCGACATAAAGACAAAAAGAAGCAATATTGCTGTTTGGCTATCGGTTCGCGTGATCGATGTGTGTCAGTTTGGTGTACAACCTACCAAAGGCCCCTTGCTGTTGTGCACGATTTGTTCGACGATAGTATCTTGGATTTATCGTGGAGCCAAATAAAGGATCAAACAGTTTTGTTGGCATGCAGTACGGATGGTACGATCGCTTGTATTTTGTTATCAGAAGATGAACTTGGTACATCGCTCAGTGCTGAAGATAAGGTAATACATAAAAATTTACTTTAAAAACAGTAATAGATAACAAAATATGTTATATTTTCGTAGAATTCGGTGTTTCAACGTGAATATGGTAAAACAATTGATCTCAATTTGAGCGAATCAAGCATGGATAAAGGTATTGTACCGGAATATTCAGAGTTTTTGAATATTGATGAAAGTAAATCGATTGATACCGTTATATTCAACAATAACAAAAACAATGGCACCAATACCAATGCACCATCAAGTAATAAAAGTGCGTCAAAATTTGGTGACGTTGAAAGCAGTTCATTGCCGATATCAACCAAATCGGTTGCAGTTCCACAGAATACAACACCAATGAAAGCGATTGAAAAGCAGATTGAGACGCGTCGGGCCGACGGTAAACGTCGTATCACACCGATGTTTGTGCCACTCTCCGTCGAACAAGACAGGTAAAAAAGGTCATATGTCATTTCCAATGTGTGATATTATGACATATGACTATGTCAAAAAGCGCGCGATTTTTTTCCGCATTGCGCGCTATTTTTTTCAATGCATGTTGCATTCTATGAATTTTTGCTATAGATCGAACATTTTCCAAAATCAAAGTGTTTAAAAGTGTTTGCATTTATGACTATTCATTTTTTCAGTCATGAAACAACAAAAGAAACACCATCGGTTGCCGATTCAACTGGTAATATATCAAATACAGCATTGGAGAAAAAAATGAACGAGCAAATGTCAAAAGGAAGTGTTGTTTTCGATTCGGCATTAACCACTATCCAATTATCAGACTCAAGCACACTATCAGCTGGCGAGTCTTCCATTAATACATCACCACCAAACAGAATTAATACCGCGTAAGTAATGCATTGAATCGTGTACATTTTCAATACCAAATCTAACCTCAAATTTTCTTTGTAAACAAATCAACACATGCCTCGTTTATTGCAGTCAACTAGATAATCGTTTAACAAAAGTGCCACCAGCAAGAGCAACCCTCACAAAGGTACCGATTAAGGATCCAAGCGATATCGATGAACCAACATTACGGCGAACGATTTTGAAAAATATCAACGCTGGAAAAGCGGCACCGTACAACAAAGTCGAACTCAAAGTGCTCAACGAACATCAAATCAAGGTATGTATCCGCATCGAACCCATTGTCATTTGTCATGAAATTGTTTCGATAAATATCGATATCATTTACAGATTCATAACAATTTTTCAACCACATCATCGGGTCCAATATGCAAAGTGACCGGAATCATATCGAATAAAATCGAATGGGAGACGTTCATTGGATCGCCCGTTGTCAATTGTTCATTGAGTGCCAAATATGTTCTCATTTGCAGTAAAGATTGTACAATACGCTTTTTGCACATTAAAAATGGTACTCCGGTCTTGCCAATCATGCACATGCCCAGCCCAGTCATTCAGTGTGTATTCAGTATAAACAGCGATTTAGGTGGCGTTGTCACCGAATGCGGTCAAATTCGTGTATGGAATCTTACGGAATGTTCAATTTTCATATCAGCAACATGTCATGACCTATTTGCCAGCACATCCACAACAGCACCGATTGTTTCCTACTTCCACGTCACTGAAGTTGGAATTCTATACATTTTGCTGTCAAATGGATGTGCATACTCGTACAATAAGAACCTTGAAAGCTGGTAAATACCATTCTCTCACACAAAAATTCGTTTTTTTTTTCAAGTCATAAGATTTCATAAAATTTCCTCCATTTAAAAAGGATCACACTGAATAGCCGAGATCCAATTATTCGACTCGGAATTTCAAATGTACCAAATAATCCAGAGAGAAAAATGAAAAAGTATCCACTTGGTTTGATTCAAACAACCACACAATTGCAACAGCCAAATATGCCAAATTTACAAGACTCGTGAGTATTATGGTTTAGAATGTCACATTTTCCATCGTTTTTTCTTCAATCGTTCTACATCATTTACCATTTTCTGTTCTGTACAATGTAGACAAAATGTATCATGGGGACATTCCGCCCGACTATCATTCATCGAAAATCAAATCCAGAATTGCATAGCGATCAAGTCTCCGGATGAATTAGAGGTACGTACAAGAATCATACATTGTTATTGTTCATTTAAATTTATACATTTTTATCTTCGTTAGCATTGGTACGCAGTTCTTGGGATCCATTTGTCAAAACACGGTGATGAAAAACGCATACGTGCTCACTTGGACGATCTGTTAGGTACCCCAAACACATTGATGATGGTTGATGGCGATGAAGAACCGAAAGAAACGATCTTGGTACGAATGAATAACATCAAATACATTGATAAAATAATATATTGATTTTTGTATCTGAATTGCAGGGCATTGAAAAGCACAAATTGCTAAGGGCTATGTTGAGTCATTTTAAATCGGTGACACGATGGCAACGACTCTACATTGAATACTCACAACAAATACAAGTCTAAAAATAAAGCAAACACTCAATATAAAAAATAAATAAATAAAGCAAATATGTGTTTTTTCGATCATTTATTTAATGTGTTTTCATTCAACGTTGTTTCTTTTTTATTGATAGCTTTGAATCAAATTGAATTGAACCATATAACCGTATAGTATTCATATTATAATAGGGGAAGACGAAAGATACACAGCGACGAATGTGTTTTTGGCAACTCGGGCTACAATATTTCGGCTCAGTACTCAAAATTTAGTGACCTCGTATTTTTTAATGATTAATAGCTCTAATCATCTGTATAAGATGTGTACTTTCCTTTACAAAAAATTTTTCCAAAGAAAAAATTTCGATGTACTCAAAATGTCGATTTTGATGCTATTTTGGATATTCCTATGACCAATACTTCTCGCTCGGTTTAAAAAAAAATGTACGCCATGTGTACAACACAAACCAACAGAAGCTATGAAACGTCAATGATCATCAAGAGATCATCACGTTCTCAATTTTTGGAATATAAAAATTAAATATTTCGCACTCACACACAGAGAGAAGTAATACAATGAAAACTAGATGGCTTGTCGTATAAAATTTGGAACTAGTTGATAATTTACCAAACATCATTTTTTGTGTATTCTCTTTTGTGCGATTCTTCTTCGTTTTTGCTTTGAAGAAGATCCGCATAAAAGAGAATATAGAAAAACCATATTTTGTATGAAATTAGATGGAAAAATACAATTTTATACGGAGTGTCAACTAGTTCCGAATTTAATACGACAAGCCATCTAGTTTCATTGTATAATTTATTTGTGTGCAGAATTTATTATCGTGATCATTTTATCCTTGATCTCAGTTGAAGGTAAGTATTTCATACAGCTGATGTCGAGTACTCTCGTGTGCAATTATACAATTTTGTATATTATTTGTGAGCTGAAAATGAATCTTGTGGAGCAGATGGATCTGACCTGTTCCAAATCCACCCCATTGTTTGACTACATTTATCAAGTTCTGAAATAAAAAAATAAACCAAAACATGTTTTTTCGATAATTTATTCTCATCTCATTAAATGATCCATACAAATATTGTTATTGTGTATATTGAACGCATATTGCGTACATATCCATGCGACGAATGCGATTATTGTAAATAAAAGTAAATAAATGAACTCTTGAATATCTTGATAAATGATGATGATACAACAAATTCATACTCTAATCAATAATTCATAGCAATTGTATATATTGGATGTTACCATGTGTTACATTCATATTATTATTTATTTTTTTCGTTTAATATAGACATTAAGGTTTGTAGATATATTTTGTGTGTTTGTGTGTATATAAATGTTGGGATCAAATGAATATAAAAGTAATTTTAATGTATCTTCTTCAAAATAAATGTTTAATTAATCCAAATCTCAATGTTATAATGTAATTAGTATTAAATGAATGACAATTATAATAATGATAAAAATAATCAAATTCAAATTCAATATGAAGTAATTCGAAACTTTTCTATTCTTATTGACTTTGCCGTGCCATGAATTAAGTTCAAGTGAGAAGAAATCAAAACATCTTACTCCAGAACAAAAGAAAAAAAACTGAAAGTATTTTCTTGAAATCATCCAATTACGCCAAAACTGCACTCTTGTAAGTGCTTATGCGATGTCAAACAACGATATCACATGTAAACAGTAATTAAATAGGTGCTGAACATAATGAATATTCGTTCGCATGCGCTTTTTTTAAATTTATCTAATTTTTATCTTTCTTCGAAGCTCGGCTCGGCAATATGAAATTTCGTATTCTTCTTCTAATTTCTTCAACTTGTCAGTTCGATTCCATGCAAGTGAATTCCAAATAAATGGAAATAGAATTCGCTTTTTTCTTTCAATAAAAAATGTGTTGTTGTTTTTTCACGGTTGGTCGCGTGAAAAATAATAATAATGAATGATAATTCGGTTATAATGAACAATCATTTCTTTTTTTCATTTTTGAATACATCTAATAAACACTAATTCGCATTAAGAAAATAAATATTCATCTTTCCTTCTTTCAATTTCTCGTTTTTTTTGTCTGTCGTGTATAATTGTCTGCTATCGTCGTCACATACATAATACATTTAAATCTATTTTATTTTTTATAAATTCATTGGATTCAGTGAATTCAACTAAATTCTAAGGTGTATAAGGATAACTATGTATAATGTATATATCATATTATAAATTGTAACATTCGAACATTTTCACGTGTCTCCATGTTTGTGTAGAGCTAGGTTGTTGGCTGTTGCACATGCACTTCATGGAATTTGAAATTGAAACTTTCCGCTATCGAAAATGCAGATTCACACTCACGTGTAAGCGTATTTGTATCGTCTCTTCTTCTTCATCTCCGTCTCCATCTTTTTCGGTTTCTTCGTTGACATAATGAATCGTTGAGAATGAGCGAATAAGAACTGAGCGATCTAAATCTATAGTTATTTTTTTAGTAAATATATTCATTTCTCTCACGAAAATTTTAACCAATAATAGGCACATAGACGATTTTGTAAAATATTTTGTAAAATGTTGTTTACTTTAATTTAGCATTAAATTGGCATATCCATTGAGTTCTTTACAAGTGAACTAAAATAGAATGAAAACAGGCATTAAATAAAATCGATTAATTAACAGTTTTATTCAGAAGGTACCTTGGTCGAAGCAACTTGGATTTATATAACTGATTAAATCATGATCGGACATTGTTGTTAGATCTGGCGGAATCGTTCCGGTTGTTGGTGGATTTGTTGCTGTTACGATTACAGCACTTGTTGTAGCAATCGTTTGTGCAACTGATACAATTGGATCGGTTACCATTGGTTCCGACATCTTTCGCGGTTTAGCACTTAAATCATCTCGTTTCGGTGACAATTGATCGCCAACAATTGTTTCTGTCGACAATGCACAGATTTCTTGCCTAAGAGACGAAATAAACAGTTGATTTGAATTCAATAATGTCTAATCCGACTAAAAGTCGGAATTGCCGGAAGAATTTCTAAAAATACTTCTTCCAAACAACTTTTTTTCTTCAAAAATTCGAAAAAAAATAACAAAAAAAGATCTCGAATTCTCGTTAATATGTTCGATTAGAAAAAAGTATTTTCAGGAAATCTTAAAGTATTTTAAAAACCATGTACTCACTGTATATTATTCAAGAGACTTTGTTGAACGAGTGTTAGATTTGCTGCGGCTGCTGATGCCGCAGTTGTTGTTGGTTGCACGTTTACAATTTGCGGATTTGCCGATATTGGATCGGCATTTACCATTTGATTTTGTATAATATCAGATGCATTTTGTGCGGCTGCAGCTGCTACAACTGTAAAAGAAGAGAACAATTTTGAGAACTTTGATTTGTTTTTTATCATAACCTCTGAAGATGAGGTTGCCCAGGGGGAATAATTTCAATATTTTACATAAGAAAATTCTTTCAAATGCTTGGTCAAAAGATATGTTTCCAATAATAATTTCGAAAAAAAGGTCTGCTTACCATTTTGAATGAGTTTATTGCTGCCGGCCAACACGACAACCGAATTCGTTGAATCACTATGCGTCAAAATGTTTGTTATCGATGGTGGGCTTGCGTTTGTTGTTTGTGGCGTTTGTTCCGTAATCATGACGTGTTCAATGAGCGCATTCGTTGCCGTTTCCGGTGTAATACTGTTCGGTTCCGATGATAAAATTTCAGCAGCCGCATTCAAAATCATATTTTTAACAGCTGCATCCGATTGTTTAATTGACATCGGCTGAATAAAATTGTTCAATAGCGCCTCCGAGGTGGGTTGTTGTGGTGGTTGTGTTATCATCGCTGGTGCATCACCAATTGCAACGGCATTTGGTAAAAGTGTTGCTGGATCGGTTGATGTATTGTTGCACATCATTGTCGGTGAAATGGTTGAGTTCATAATAATGTCAGATTCAATTGTTGAATTATTCACCGGTTCAACGGTGAGCATAGAATTTGGTGATGTGTTTATCGTTGGGATCGCTTGTGAATTGAGCATCACATCGGTTGTGAGTGGATTTGTTGGGCTGGTGCTTAAAATATTCGGTGAAATGGCCTGCGTTGAACTCGGAAAGCTTAGCATATGATTTAAACCATTTGCGGTTCCAGCTTCGGTCATTAGACCTTGCGTTCCAAATACACTTGATTGTTGTTCCATTGTTTGTTGCATTTGTTGGTTTGTGGTCATCGGTGTTACACCAACGTGATTCAGTGTGCCTAAATTATTGTTGAGCATGATATCGGTGCTGTTTGGTGCATTAAACATTTGAACATCGTCCACTTGTACTTTTAAATCGTTTAGTTTTGGTCGGCCAAATGGTGCCATCAACGATGCATCGGGAACCGGAACTCCGGATATTAACTTGGGTGGTTCGACCAATGTTGGATGTACTAAGTCTTGAATTTGTGCGGCCATGCCGTCTTCTTGTTTAACTCTTAAATCGACCACATTTATCGGTGACGTGGATGTTATGTTCATCAATGGTGGCGGAGCGGGGAATGAATTCGCTGCCATCATATCTAACGGTGATGTGCTCATTAATGTCGCCGGATTACTTGCATCCATCGAATTTTCCGATACGTAATCGATTGTGTCGTGTAAACTTTCGGCTCCGTTCGATAGTATTGAACTTTGTGAATTTTCGTCAAGAATTTCGGCTTTGAGCATTGGCGGCGATGATTGGTCGTTTGATCCACATGAAAGCAAACCAGACAATGATGTTCGACGAATGTTCAATGGAAGCGTTGTTGCCGGCGGTGGCATGATACCGGCATCAATTTTATTCGACGTTTCTTTCAGATGATTTGCCCATAGCATCAATGTGGAACAAGAAGCCGGTGCATTCTTCAACACTGGCGATGATGTCGGTGACATTGAACGTGATTCTTCATTTCCATATCCCATTTCCATATCTGCAGAGAAAATCGTATTAATTATCATCGAATATAACATATGCATTTATTAATTAAATGGGACTTAGACGGTAAAAAACTTAAAAGCTAATCGCTGATTGATTTGTGATTATAGTTCGGCATCAATTCGGACTGTTTGGCGCCTGAAAACTTAATTTATGAAAATGTAAACAATTTGCAATTAGATATAGATCTGGTTAACCGTATGCATCTTTTTTTATTCATTTTATTTTTTTTTTTCATTCCCACTTAAAATATTATATGAAATATTGAACGTAAATTGAATGCTATACACACTCTCCCTCTCTATCACACACGCTCCCCTTTTCTATCGATTGCAATCGGTTAGGTCAGATAAATGATCATCTTTTTTTCATCCACAATGTTCAATCAAAACACCAAACACAAAATTCCACTTAATATAATTGCTCATTCATTCGGTGCATTTAGATAAATTTATTTGTTTATTTTTAATTTAAAAAAATATGAAATAAAAATGAAAATCAATTCGATGAAAGATGCTTGCTGAATGCCAAGAGCTTGTTTTTTTAAAATCTGGTGGCGATCTTAAGAATTCGAACAGCGATTCAATAGGCACACAAAAAAATACGCATTGCATTGAACAGCCAAATGGCGCTAGTACGTCAAATTGAAAAGCAAAGCATTTTCATCAAAATGGTCATTCACAATTCACCCAATGATATAGAACAAGACATTTTCAGTCCACATTCCTACAACACATTCTCTTTAACAATACACATGCATGCCCAACACATTTTTACATTCGATATTTCGCTCAAATACAAAAACAGCACAACTCATATGCACAAAAAAAGATGATCATTTGGTCTTAAAAAATATCCTTAAAATCTACATAAAATTAGAGTGCGTAATGCGGATGCGTGTCGATATGTCAATTTTATGTTTGGTATCTGTCCCTGAAATAGTCTAGAGAAAGAAATGCAAAAACTAAAAATATAATTCGAAAAATTGTAAGTCCCGTTGCACTGATGTCCAATTCAAATCCGCTTCACATCTCTCGGTTGACCTCAATATCAATACCACCGGCAAATTATATTATTTAGAAATATTGCTATGAATTTTTAATTTTTATGTGTGAAAAAAACAATTATGAAAAAGAAAAACCAATAAAATTTCAACGAGTTGTCACACTCTCTTTTAATTAAATAAATAAGCGACGACAAAATAATGTAATTATTTCTGTTTTTTCTCATTCGAAGAAGCATTCTCACGAGAGATAAGTACATGAAATGAAGGCAAATGAGTGATTGTTTTGAATGTCAAAAGGCGAGGTTTATTCGCGAGAAACAAAAAAAACGATTCTCAATGTGATTGACGCAAACAAAGCAAATAAGTGAAAAAAACCAGAGCGTAATGTTCAATTACAGTTCATTCTGCATAAAAAATCGATGGCAATGCCCAAAAAAAATAACAATAAAAAGGAATCGAATAAAATGATAAAAATAAAACAGAATGCAAAACTAAAAATAGCACAAATGAAACCGTACATAATATATTCGAAATGCATCAGAAAAGAATGCAAAGACAAAAAGACAATGAAATCACCTCTCACTTGAAGACCTAATGACGTCACTCATGTGTGCTTGTAACAACAACGAAAAAAAAGTGTATTGAACACCCAAAAAAACGAAACTAAAGAGAGAAAATGTGAGATTCGCGCGCGTGAGATTTTCAACATCGATATTGATTCAGTTATTTGAAAGAATTACCAAAAAAAATGTTACAAAGTTTAAAACAGAAAAATTTAAATAAAAATTGTGTTTGTAAAATCAAAAAATTCAACAACAAAAAAAAGAATTGATTAAAATAATTTGATTTGTTTTTTTTTTAGATTTAATTTGTGGCATTTAACCAGTACCCGTGGTTGTGTATCGAAGCCGATTTGGAATGATATTGGATGGACACGTGTGTCTGTGATTCTGAATATGGTGGCTTATATTGAGTTTACGTTGGCACATGATGACGATCCATACACAGCAATATTTGGAGCGCGCGCGCATATTTCATTTTTCATTCAGATATTCAGCTGCCTACTAGGTCTTAAACTGTTCTCCCGTCGAATGTATATTGTTTTTATTTATAATGTGCATAATCCACGCTGAAGAAGTTTTTAACGGTAATTTTTTGCTTTATTTTTCTTTTCATTTTTTTTATTGTCTTTATTAAAATGTCAAAAAGTACAACGCTGACCAATGGCATATTGAGTGTTCAGCAATTAAATTCAAATCGCTTTTTTTTCGGTTCAGAAACAAAATATTCATTGCGTTTCTTCATTGCTTCACCATCTTCTTTGCTTTTTACATGTTTTTTTTTTATTTAGCGCGCAATCGCCATAAGATGTAATTAAATCGATTGCGTTATTGAAAGCAATTAAAAATAAACGAAACAACAAAGTTAACATCAACAACTTTGAATTTAATGCGTTACTTGACTCATGACCATCGATTTTGCCAGCGCTTATATATTCTGACATTTTTTTTCTTTGTTTCATAAAATTGTTCGGTTTCATTGAGAACATAAAAAAAATTTTCACCTAAATTATTTGAATTGGATAGAAAAAAAACTTATATTTTGCAATATTTTGTGATTACATATTTGTCTAATCGATTTTTTCAAATCGATGTAAATGATAAAAAATAAATTTTGTTTTCGAATTCTTTTCATTTGCATTGCGAATTTTTTTTTTAGTCAAAAACTATGCTCGAAATTTGTTAAAATATCTTTGCTTTTATGATGAAATGAAACGAAAACGAGAGAAGAAATGAAATTGAAAATGAATAAAATATCCCCGGGAAATTTGCGGATTGGACATACAATTATATTGAAATGAAATAGACAAAGAACAAACGAGATGAAATTTATAAAGAGAAAAGAAAACTTGCACAGTAAATATGAAATCAGGCAATTTTCGCACGAAACACAAAACTTTGATGATATTAGATTTGAGTCGAAACATAAACTAATGCGTATGTAACATTTGTAATCACAAAATATTTTCGATTGATTGAGTTTTTGCATATATGTTGTTTTTTATTCGTCATTTATAATTTTCTCTTTTGCAAAAGAAAAGTCTTTGGTGTGATGCCACATCGCTCGTGTATTCAAAAATCAATTTCAATTTTGCGTCAAACTATTTTTATTTTCATCCGAAATATTCATGGAATGGATACGAAATAGCCGACTTCAAAGAGTGAACTCGTGAAATTGGAAAATATCACTTTTTTTTTCACCGCACAACAAATCGAATTTATTTATTCGTTTTCATATTTGAAAAAAAAAAGCCTTATCATATAATAAATCTGTCTGATCTCAAAAAGACACACTCTGCTGCTGAAAAATAACATAAAATTAGAATAGATGAAAAAAAATATGAACGTAGGAAAAAGAATCCATCCAGCAACATTCACATTCGGTCATCAACCAATTCCAATGGATCATCATCCCTCGAGATATAACCACATTCATAAAGTAGCTGTCATCTTCAAAGCGAAATATATTCAATCTCCGAAACACATTGACTTTTATTCGCTGTCTCCTTATTCTTGTCCTATCACATCAAGCACATCACAAATAAACAACGAAACAATTAGACAAATCTCAATGTGTTTCAAAACTTTATGAAGTTCCCTTCCACATATCTATATTGTTGAGATTGAAAGTCTGTTGTTGGAAGTAAAAAAAAGCTCCTAAAACATACACAAATCTATTTCGAGCATTTCTGTCCTTACAAAAAAAGAAAAAGATCCCTTTTCACATGCATAACATTAAAAACATAACCCTATTGCACGATATAAGTGCCACTCTCTTCGGAAAACTTCACTACAATAATAAATATTGAATATAAAAAAAACAATCACTCTCTATTCACCATATGTATTAACGGACGCCCTCTCTATTAACGGACTACGTTTTTTATTGGAGTAGTTAAGCATATTTCGTTTTTCGATTGTCATCCGTTGCAATTACTTAAACCCAATTGAATGAAAGCGTTCAAGTGCATCATTTAGTTGATTTTAGTTTTCTATCGACTGAAAAACGAAATTCTTATTTACTCCAATAATAAACAATAGAAAATGTACTTTTTTCATTCCATCCATACCAGAACAAGAAAAAAAGAGTACGGGCATTTCCATTTGCTATTTGAAAACGAATAAATAGCGTTCGATTTGCAATGGTAACGACACTTTTCTATTCTATTTTTCTCTCTTCAATCATTTATTTTGTCTCGAATATAATTGAGTCGTTTGCAATTAATCGATATCCATTTGTAAGTATATTTGTTCTGTTTTCTCACTCTCGCATTGCCACTCACTGCAGTGGAATATGCTTTTTATGGTATATGTGTTGCATTGGTGGCCGGGAAATCACACGGACCGACTGTGCTAAAACGACTAAATTGTTTTATCGAGCATATTTAAACTATTCATGAAAAACATCGACGAATAATAATATATTCACGCGCTCCAATTTATATCGATGAATGTTAATTGTTTGACAAATAAACGGCGTCGAACCGTAAGCAAGAGACGTTTGAAATTAAGAAGAAAAAAAAATGCAGGGAAAATGATATTGTTCAGAATGTGGCGAAAAATTTAAAAGCGAAGCTTCGGTTAATGACGCTAGCGCATATCGACAAGTGGTCGCTTGAAGTTGGAATTTGTTCTAGAGTTCTTTGAACTTATGTTATGAACTATATGACATCGACATCGCATCCAATTAATTCACTTGTTGCACACGCACAAACCGTATACACTTGGTATTTCGATCGGAAAAACTAAGTGAGATGTAACCGACAACGTTGCGACAGTGAAGCCATTTGGAGTCAATTATTTTGCAAAGAGCCGTATTCAACAAGTTAAATCAATCGGAAATGTTTTAACTGTAATGCTTGATTCCGTTGTCTTTGTCGTCCCAGCACCGTTACATTGATAAAGTGAAAAACAAACCGTAGAAATAGACGGCATTTTTAATGAAGAAGAAGAACCACCGCAAAACAACAATATAAAATAAACAAACAGCAGCAAAAGGGGCATAGAAGTTGGTTTTTAGCTTTGCCAGCCAGAGGCGAATGTAACATATATCGGCGTGTGTTGTGTGTGACATTGCGTTTCAATGTGTTACATCGCTTGTTGCATACACCATTGTAAATGAGCTCGAAAGAGAGGAAAAACAAAGCGCACAAGTTACACACGCTTCAATGTGAGTGGGGTGAACGTTAAGCTGTGTCTCATACGCTAAAAAGGTCATTGTTCTGCCTTCATTTAAAGCTAAAAATACTCCAAACGCATTCTATAAACTAAAATCACATCGTCAAATATCAAACACACATATGCACGCGCTCTCTTCGAACTGCTGCATTTTGAATAAAAAAAAAAAACGAAATACATTTGTGTGTCGCTTCTTCAAAAATTGACGAGTGGCAAAAATTACGAAATTCAAAATAAAAAGAAGAAACAACAAGCTCGTGTATGAATCAATGGCATTGATAAAAAAAGCGACAGTTTGTTATTGTTATTTGTGATTTTCGAATTGCATGTGGCGCTCTATCGAATTTCAGCTTTATTTTAATATATGTGCCAAAAAACATAATAAATTAAATTTGCGTCATTGTGTCGTTTTTCCCGTGAATATTTGTGAAAGAAAAAATCCATTTCGAGAAGAGAGAAAAAGGGTATCATAAGGAGATTATGTCAATGAATCATACTCATTACTTTAAGACGCGACATTTTCTGCATCAGGATCATCGATTTTTTTTTTACATTCAAGTAAAACACGTGTAAAGGAACGATATTTTCCAATTCATAATTGGTTTGGATGTTTCTTATATGCTGAGTTCACTCTTTTAGTTTGGCTATTTGATCATTTCATTCAGCGATGCGGCATCGTTCGGAGATATATCGTTTCTTTTCTTTGTTTAGTTTTGAAAGGTTACTTTGATTTGATTAACAAATAGATATGAATACTCTTAAAATACCTTGAATGCTCTTTGAATGAGCATGTTGTAATGATGCCAATGTGGATGCCATTGCTAGTGCTCCAGCTCCGAATGCACTCTTCGGTGTATAGACAAAATTATGCGGTTCGCTGAACTTATTACTTGACGTAACAAGCATTTGAACCGTGACCGGTTCGACAATGTTGGGATCAACATATGGCGGTACAGTGCATATTAAATGAGTCTGAAAAACAAACCAATTTATTCATCAGCAATTGCATTTATCGGTTACGGACCAAAACAAAAAAAGTGCGAACAACGCCCGCTTTTTCGAAATGTTCTTTTGAATTTGATGTTAACATTCACAGTGAATGCACAAAATGTTGCTTACCTGTTGCAAAAATTCTTTGTCAGGAAAAACAGACTCTTCCCAGATTGTGTCATATGATTCGCTGGCCGGCGGCAGTAATCGGCGTGCTTGAAATATAACACGTGTATCTTTTAAAAAGTTTTTACCTATAATGAAGAGTTCTAAACCCCCATTTGCCGGACATGACACCAATGATTTTTTACATATTTCGGGCACGCCAGGCGGTTGTGCTGTACGGAAAATATTTCAAGATAAAATTTAATTTATTAATAAAAAGATATCTTGAATTATAAATGAGCTCGATTATAAATTCAGTTGAAATCGAACTCAAATAAAGTGTAAATTACTAACAAAGTACCAAAAAATGTTACCAAATTTTCACTTGATGTTACTTACTGCAGATAATTTGTTGAGAGCACACTTGCAGCGTTTCGATAGTTCCATCATCATGTGTGATTTGTGTACGGAATACCATACGGCAACGTGTTGATTTCTTTTTACTTCGTGGTCCGGCTGTTTGATCCGGAAATCGATGCTCAACATCAACATTTCGTTCCTAACGAAAAAAAAAACCCGATTAATTTGTAAAATGATTTAATTTGGTCGTGCCAAACATGAATATACCTTTAAAATTCCCACACAGTCACATGTAGCGGTCATGTCGGTCTCTGGCTTCAAATCAATTTCAATGACAATGGTTCCTTCGACTTTTTTCTCATTGCATGGCGTTGAATTTTTACCCGACACTTTGCATGCTTGATAAAACATATGTGGTGCCACTCGACCGACATCTGTTCCAATGAAAATTTGTAACGTAGCTGGTTTATCGTATGCCATGAGTTTAACAATTGGAAAACCATTTCCACTTCGATCTTTCACCGCACCACGGCTTCCTTCTGTCTGATACCTTTATTTTTGAGAATAAAATCAAAATGAGCACCGTTGTAAGCATCTTCAAAATCAATTTCGTTTACCTTGCTCTGTGCTGTTGTTCGGGTTGTGCCAAAATTTGCAATTGACACTTTCCATTCTGTGAGATAGCACCAATTTGTGTTTGTAATGTAACCGTTCCGCTAACGCCCATATTATTATTCGGAGCATTGAGCATTTGTGATCCAATCGCTTGGCGTCGAATGGTTGGTCGCGTTGTGCCACGCGTTATTGTTGTTATCCTTTAAATGAGAGCGTTGAAGTTTTACAAGTTAAACAAGTTTGACATTTTTATAGATTGGATCGTTGATGATTGAAAGTGAAACAAAATAAAAAAAAACTAAAAGAAGACCACTTGGAAGGACTTTGCGAGAAAAGAAAAATGATGGGTAAATGAATTGTGCGCGCGCGAGATCAATTTGCTGTATGAATATATGAGTGGGCAATAAAGCAATGTTATAAAGCAGCTAATACTAGATCAAATGAGACCAAGCAACCAGTGAGAGATTTTTCCATTGTTAGAAATCTAGAGCGAGGGCATTTATTCTTATTTTTTTTTCGTTCTATTCCAAATAGAACTGTTGCCGCGACGGAGAAGGGTAAAAGTGCAATGTAAATTGGCGAGATTGTCGTCATGTGGCACAAAACACATTTTGATGCGTTGAATTATTGGCTAGATAAAATTGATGCAACAAAACATTTTAATCGAAGGATAAAACTCTATCGCTCATTTCGCAATGACATAGTTTCAGTGTGTGAATGTTGATTTTACGATGACTCAATTGTTGCTGTTGTTATTGCAAATGACAATTGATTTCGATTGTTCGACAAACACCTCTTGAGAACACTGTCTACAAAAATAGCCAAGAAAAAATGAAAATGATCTGAAATCGCTTAAAAATGACTGAATAATTTTGTGTTTTGTAGTATAAAATGGAAAAAATCAATGAGAGAATGGAGATTTCACTAAATGCAGTCATGAAAATAAATGAAAAACCACCGAATGTTCAATGATACGAGAAATGCGTCGAATGGAAATGATTTGCGTACTATTAATTTCAATAGAACAGTGCATCTATTGTATACATTAATATGTTACAATTAAATCAATGATACGACTATCACTGTTTGAATTTTATTGAGCTGTTTATTTGAATATCAGCGATAAAAAGCGCTTCTCGCATTAAATGGGTTAGATTGGCGTCGAACGCCAAGTGAATATGTTGATAATACCGTTGCTCTACAATATTGAGCAAAATGCACACTGAATCTGCCCTTCTGGTAATTCTATGCTGAAAATCAATTTTCGGTCGAAAGCACACATACGAAAAAAAAGAAACAAAGCTGTTGCAATTGATCTGCTTTTTTGCACTTGTTTTCTAAAATTGGCATGCGAATACAGACAGATAAAAAAAATATTCGCCAATACTTGAGGCTATGATGCAGCAAATTAAGCCAAATAAAGGACAACAACATGTCTTACGAAAGGTACAGATGGAACCAACAACAATAACAACAACATTAAAAAAAAACGACGTAAAATCGACATGCGTCATAACAATATTTTATGGTTATTTATGCAAATTGTTTTCTTTATGTGTGTGAATTTAGCGGCTAATTTTGGAATGGGCTAATTTAAAAATACATTTTTTTGTTGGTCGTGCAAAATCCAGTTTCTTTTTTCGAATTGAAGTCATTAAAAGATAAAAAAGACATTCTCATTCGTATCGCTTTGCCGCTTGTTTCAATATTTGCACCATGAATGAAGGTAGTACGGTATTCAGAGTTTACTTTTTACGATCCAAAGCGCGACAATGACAAGCAAAGTTGACAGTAGCGCCATGGTGCGGTTGCCAGCGAAACTAAAAAATGGCACAAATTTCGATTGCCCAAATCAAAAATGGTACAAATTTGTGCCACCCAACATAAACAGTGACAACCATAATAATGAATTTGCTGCGTTGAACAGCTGTCGTCGTGCTTTGTTACAATCGATACATGAGAATATCGAATAAATCGTACGTGAAAAAAGCAGCCCATTTATCGAATTAAATAAAAATCAATCATTGTTCTTCATTGTATACGTTGAAAGTCATGATTTAAACAAAAGACAGGCACATTTTTATTGATGAACCTATCGTGGTTTTCTAAATTTATCAATTTTGAAAGGATCGAGTACTATCTGTCAAAATATTTCCCCCTATGCCAAGCGAAATTAATTCGATATACGGCGCTGATGTAAATGTCTCTCTGTCATTTCACAATAATACTTTTTTTGGCTTGACAATAATAAGCTCTTCATTTAAAATGCATACAAATTCATAATTATTGAATCGTTGAAAAAAAACATGTCATAAAATATTTTTCTAACATTTTTCATTGAAAATTTTATAAAAAAAATTTTTTTATAAAAAAATTAATTTGTTTATAAATTACAATAATTTCAAAAAAAATGTTTCATCGATTAAATAAGAATCCAATGTAAATAGTAATGACAATGCGACACCTACCGTAAAAATGCAAAAAGAAACGTAGTTGGTCTCCATTGTAGCATTTTAGTCCGCCATGACAGCATCTTCGTTTTACTTGACCAATCACAGAGAAGCAAAACGAAGTTGCTGTTATGGCGGACCAAAATGTTAAAATTCCAAATAAGGGTAGGTGTCGCATTGGTATTACTTTTTACATTAGATTCTTGATCAATCTATGAAAAAAAAATTGAAATTATTGTTATTTTTAAACAAATAAATTTTAAATATAGAGAATTTTTATGAAAAACGTAAGGAGAATATTTTATGATATGTTTCTTTTTTTACTCGACCGTTCAAAAATTATGCATGTTGAATGAAGAGCTTATATATTGTCAAGCCAAAAAATGTATTATTGTGGAATGACATAGAGTGACATTTACATCAGCGCCGTATATCGGATTAATTTCGCTTAGCAAAGGGGGAAACGTCGTACTCGGTCCTTTTTCGGGATTCCCATCACATGCAAGTGTGACTGCATCTAGTTCTTTCTTACGCTAGATAGTTGTTTATCAAAATCATCTACTAGCCAACCGAATTAAAAATAATACCAAAGTCTAATTGAAAAAATTGTACAAAAATTAAAGAAGAAGAAGTGGTCGAAGCAAGAAACCAGTTTCGATCGAAAAAGGCATTCACTTGTACTCATATTTGGTCTTTGGTGTCTTGTTTATTTTGTTTTCGATTGTTGTTGTTGTCGTGTAAAAATGTGCTTACTTGGACGCATTGCAAGGAACGGTTGTGGTTTTTTGATTGCTTTTCAATGGCTTTCCCTTGAGGCTCGAATTAAAAGCAAATGCGTCATTGCTACATGTATCGTCGATATCAATTTTTTGATCTAAATTTTGACATCTTATCTGAAGTTCGTCCAACACAAGCATATCGCTATCAAGCGGATTGATTGAAGACGCAGACGATGATGATGGTGATGATACAAGCATTTGAGTTTTATCAATTAACATTGCATTCATGCCAATTGTGGTGACCGGTGCTGCGATTGTCGCTGATGTTGATGCTTCACCTCTTAAATCAATTTGAATATTTCCATTGGCGGCTAAACGACTCGTACATATTGTCGCTGAATCGGTTGTACTACCCGACGAAGGCGGCAATCTACATTAAAGACGTGCAACGCGAACAATAACGGATTATTAGTTTGTGTTTATTATTAACCTATCAATTCCAATGGGTTTAATAAATGGTTTGTCGATTGATCCGCAATTGTAACGGTGATAATATATTTTTTTCCAAGTTTAACATTCCAATTGGACAACACAATGAATTGACACCTCCATGGAGTTTGATTTTTTAATATAAAGCGCTTCAGACGACGATTTTTGTGAAATTCCCATTTTTTTTTAAATCGAATACTTAGGATTAAGAATTTTGAAGAGTTTTTTTTCGATTCCAATTACTTTTCCTCACACACCGAGTGTGTAAGGGAAAAGTATTTTAGTACTGACTTTAAACGGTTTCTTGTGATCAAAAAGTCTATATTAAACTAAAATTGGAGCTGTTTTCCTCTGAAAATCTCTTTTGTCTTTGGAAAAAACTCGTTTTTAGACTAAAAATCTAATTTTTTTTTTTCAAAACATCTCGTTAAAACATTATTTTACTTCAGGCAATTGAACTCCAAATAAAATAAATGGAAAATTGTAAACAACATCTAGTGAATGGAATCACATGAAGGAAGCGTGATATTAAAAAGCATACATTTACAATATTGTTTAATGACAATGACCAAATAACAAATTGAAATACTTTTTACAACAAAGAATACCGGTTTCTCACCATAAGCCAAAACAATTGATGGATTGATTGTTGATGTTTTTTATTTGGCGATGAACATAAAAATAAATGCAATTGATTTTTTTGTTGGATTATATTTAGCGTGTTTTTGATGTGTAATGTTTGGTAATTGTGTATATTTACGGTGAAATATGAAATAATAATAAAATAACAGAACATAATCGATTAAATAACAAATAAATGTGATTGATACAATGAATGTATTATAAAGAATTGTGTGAGTGTGAGTGTGTGTGTTTTGTTGCTGTTGAATTATTCGTTTATGACTCGAAATCGATAAATTCAAATAAAATTACCTTGTAGACGGTATTTGTTTGATGTTTGCGTATGGTGTGTCGGCATACTGGTCATATCCTAGCCCACTGTCATTTGAATTATCACAATGTGTACTTTGTTGTGGTCGTAATCGTTTGCCCGGTAGCACTTTGCCACCGATACGAGCGGCTGAATGTATTTTGCCCGGCAACGCTTTCCCCGGATGTCGTTTCGATGGTATCCGCAACACTTTTCGATGAACACGTGACGTCATGGTTCTACAAGGTAATTTATTAAATATTTAAGAATTGAGGTTGTTTGTTATATTTTCTTTGTTTTTCGCAAGAATTTTCAACATTTCTCGTATTTTTCGACAACATTTATGCGTTTAAAAGCCAAACCAGCCGAACAAGATTGAGGAAATGCGATCGGTGATTCGGATTAAGATGCAAATAAATAATAATAATATTAAAAGAAAAATGAATTAACTTACGATCCAGTCGACATGGTCATTCGCATCACTGAAATACAAACAGAAAATATTTTAGATAAAAATTCGGTTGGCAGGTGGTTACTAGGAAAATCTATTTCAATATATATATATAAAACATTCTCTTTTAATTCCGATTGCTTTTTCATAAATGTTTGATTTTTTGGCTGAATCAAGTTTTTTTTTTCTCTCGATTTTTCATTCTCCATACGCAAAATGTGAGAAATATTTCTCGATACAAACGCAAAAAATTGGTTTATTATCCACGTGTCTGTTTTGGTGGCGGACACAAGTATCGATCTATTTTTAAAAGCAATTAGAGCATACATGTTGAATGTGGCGTCTTTTTCATGTTCTTCCATTTTATGATGGTTTTTTTTAATCGAGTGTTGAATGAATTTAGCGAAAAGAATTTTATGCGATACAAAGTTCGTGCTTGTGTTGTTGTTGTTGGGGGGTGGCCCCTAAAGAATATACGACGCACATATTTTGTGCGTTATGTTATTCTAGCTTATTAGCAAGACGATTTTCTTATGTCTGAGCACCTTCCTGTCCGACATTTGGAAATAATCACACCATTTTACATGTAAATGTGAATCAGAAATAAAGCCATTTCCAATTATGACATTTCAAATGTAAATAAACCTATTAGGATAGACATTCGGCATAAATTAAAGCTATCTATCCGATTTCAAGCTTTATTGCATTTCCTTCTCGCACACGAAATTTGGTTGTTTTTGGCAAATTCGGAATTTGCTGCATGAAAACACCGTGAACATGATGAAGAATTCGTACATTGCCTTCTCCGAAATGTATCATTTTTGATCATTGAGTTGAATGAGTAATCGCTAGGCGACCGTCGAAATTTCGATTTGTTTATACATGCCGCAGACAATCTGTTGACTGTTTGTTTTTTTATTTAAAAACGTGTGTACCTACTCTGTATATCATTAATGTGCGAAGGGGGGTAGGGGAGTTTACCCCCCCCCCCTCCCCCGTGATATTGGCCGAAATTATTCGAATTTGCTAGGGTTTTTCACGAAAAAAGTGAAGAGCAAAAAAAAAACGAAATTTTTAGTTTGTGAAAAATCACCCCTTCTGTAAAATGTAGCTCGCACATTACTGCTGTATATGTTGACTATAATTTTTTATTGAACATATATTTAGACGATTGTTTTAATATCATGCATACTTGATTCCGAAAAAATTCGACGATGTGTGTGTTATTGATTGTTATTACCTTATTCTAAGTCTTGCCAATTTAGTTCAGTTTTCTTTCTTTTCATGACTAATTGTATATACGTTACGCATGTTGTTTTCTTTCATTTCTAAACGCTTGTTTTTGGAGTGAATCTTTTACAGCAGACAATATTCCTAAAAGCCAAAACATTTGTTTGAAAGAAGTGCGTAAGAATGTTTGTTGAAAACAAAAATGCCAATAATAAGAATGTTTATCAGGAAAATTAGTCAACGGCAAAATCACCAACAAATGTCAATTCATATATCAAATGTTTAAGAATAATATAAAATACGATGGCGGCGTTGCATTAAATCAAATCAGAAAACGGGACGAAGAAAAAAAAACTGAAGAAAATTATTGGACCTTAGCCAAGATTGTTTGGGCTATTAAATATTGTCTATTTCCTTTAGATTGATATAATTTTGAAACGCTGTTTATTTTTTATTATTTAGAATTCCACAGCCGAGTGCATAAACAAACTGAATGCGCATTTTAAATCACAATAATTTATGGGCTCTCTATGTCGAATAGAATTCAAAATAGCATTTACGTTTTATTAATTGAATAAAATTGAATGAAATCGATGCCGTTATTTCATTCGATTTCATCAAACAGTTTAACATTCGTGAAAGAATCAAACAAATCATTTGAGGCATATTTTTCCGCAGAAATAATTTGAGACAGAGAAAATTATTGCATTTTTATTTATGGCATGGCCGTTCAAGCAAAGAACTCCATCTTTTGAATTGGCTTCTTTGCTTCGTTGCACACAAAAAACGAAACAGGTGAATCTACATGAAAAAATCTTCCGCAAAAGAAGCACTGTTTCCAGAAATTAATTTTCGAACGCTACTTTTTTATCCATCTATGTTTGGATATTTTTACAAGTAAAGCCAATTAAAATCCACCCACGAACTTATCATATCTATAGAAAAGAGATTCATTTGGACATATGCTAATCTGCTCGTGTTTGATCATTAAAGAACACATAATTTGAGGCTTATTATCGCAATGCATGGTGATTACGCCAGAGAGATTTAGCTATTATGTATTAGCTTATTACTGAAGCGCCATTTCATTACACAAAAATTTTGTGTTGCGAGAGGAAGAAAGAGAGAGAAGGACTAATAAATAATTTTATGATTGCTTTTTGAATGATTCAATTTCATGCGCGCGAAATTTGAAATGTAAAATCCATCAAAAAAGCACATTATTCTTTTGGCCGATGTCAAACCACAAAATGTACATTTGCTTGCACAATATAACGTTCGTCAACAATAAACAAAAATAAAAAAAGATCTATATGCAATGAGCAGAAAATACACATTTCAGATAGGCATAGATATCAGACGAGCGAACAAACAAAGAAAAAAGCACACCAAATTTGTAAATCTCTAACAATTTCAATTTACACACTGATAATTCCTTTATCACGTTTCTCTCTCTTTAGCTCCGGCTCTTTTTCTCCTTTCATCTATCTATCTCATTCTCATCTTTCAGTACTGCGATTTCTGTCACCTTATTCAACGTCCTCGAAAGCGAGCGACGCAAAATTCAGTATTATTCTCGCCGTTGATCTGATTTAAATGTGAATACATTTGAAAGCGTGTCGCTGGTTAAATTCGTTATGCGATGCTAAATTAAAATCAATTTAAATATGATGCCCAAGTCATTGTGCTGCATTCGACGAAAGACGTCGCCGCAAACTTTTTTTTTTTCATATGGCAAAAAGGAGTCTTCGTAACAATTCGAATGAATTTTAAGCGAATCGGCACAAACTGTTACCATTGTGTGCAGTTTCAATGAATCGCGCATGCAATTGAATATTAAATATTTTCAATTACAGTTTTTTTCAACTGAATCGTAAGTGTACATATCAAGTCTTATCGTACACTTTTGTCAAACGGTTATTCAACTCTCTCTCTCTCTTTTCTTTCTGTTACAATTTGTTGTGTTCATCTTCAGTTTTTCGATGTAAACGAATGCTAGTTATAATCTCATTTCGTGCGCTTTTTGTATTCAATTTTTTTCAAAAGGAAATGAAAATCAGTTATTTTCGAATTGAACACTGATATATAAATATACAGGAAAAAGAGACTGATATATCTCATGGCATCAATAAATCTTTTTAACAGATTTAAATCAACCATGATTTTTAATTAATCACCGAGAACTTTGCACGGTTTCAATTAACAGAAATGACGAAATTGACGGTATCGATTAGAATCTACAACGATTGAACGTTAACAAAAGATTAAAAACCTCAAAAAAAGATTGAATTGAAATATAGGAAGCTCTTATCGCTTGCTTCAACGCAAACAATTAATTTATTAGCACCAAAAAAAAAATGAAATCTCAAAATTTATAACGCGACAACGGCGCATATACACTTGTTGTGTCTAATTTTTGTTAATTTTCAAATTCCGAGTAATATTTGCTGTCGTTAGGGGTCCAAAAAGCGATAGCGCGACGTAATTTTTTAAAATTTGCTATCAAATTATTATTTTTTTATGTGATCGTTATTTACTTTGATTATGGTTGTGATTGTGATTGTGATAAGATGGATATCCATTATTATAGTTGTAATGTTGATGTGAATGTTGATAATGATGATTCCAGTTGCCTTTTCCCTTTCCTTTGCCTTGACGGACGCCACCGTTTATGACGCCACCACTTTGACGATTGCCGTCGAAATTCATCCATTGTGGATAAGTAACACGCATTTTTGATGAATTTTGCTCGTTTTTAACACTTCACTAATTTATAAAATTCGGGATTTTTTCTGGTTTCGAAGTGAAAAATGCAAAATCGATTTTACACGCGCCAAATTTTTTTTATTTTCAAATAAATTTTATCACTTATTCTCGTTGATTTTGTTTTGTGGTACTTTTTCTTTCTCTTTCACGATTTTATTGCATCAACTGCACAGACTGGAATCATTCACGTATGTAACTAACTTTGGTGGAAGTGTCGTTGAACGATGAGATTCGTGTTATTCTAGTCTGGTCAAATTCCGTCGTTTTTGTTTTGTTTCTCTTTATGAATATCGTATCAGATTTTTCCTGTTTATTTTGGTATTTTCGGTTAATGTATTTAAAAAAAAACTGTGTATATTTGCTTAACGAATCAATAGATATATAAATGAAGCGAAAGCTTAGCACCAATCATATGTAAACGTATAAAAAAAATGTCGATTTAAAACTGTTTATATTTTCGAAATTTCATTTGATTCAGTTCAGTGTATTTGGTATGTTTTGAAAAGAAAATCTCACATTTGTTCCACATGATTTAGGCCCTTAAATACACATTTTTTTGTCGAATAACGCACAATGATCGAACATACAAGTTCCAATTAGTTGATATAAATCCGGTTTTTTTGGTCGTTTTCTTCACTGTTTGCCAGTTTAATTCACAACTTGTTCACACATATGCCATTTGAAATTTTTTCGAAAAAAAAACGAGAAGTGTATATGTATTTCAAATGACGATCGTAATTTTCACCTTATTCAATTGCTACACATATTTCTTTAAAAAAAATTGCGATTTAAGTTCAGTGGCGAGTATAAATTTTCAATATATTTTTTTTTCCGTTTCATTCGTAAATGCCTGACGATCTATTTTTTCTTTCGATGTGCATACAAATACAAAATATTATTATCATCTCATCATCAATGAAACACTCATAAAAATAAATACTGTGCGCCTATCAAAAAATTAATATAAGTATATCAACATAGATAAGGATCGGTTTTACAAGCGACAATAGTAATCTTATGAAGAAATATAGACTCGTCTCATTTGATTTTATATTCCACTAATACAATTTAGATGGATTCTTTAGTTTGAGGTCTATCACACGAAACATAATATTCAGTTGATTTTGTTCACGATATTACACAACATAGAAGACGAAGAACAACAACATCTTTTTTTTCTCGTATCATATATATATATAACAGTGATAACGAGGACCCGAATATGAATATGAACACACATAAACGTCACAATAATCGTTGTATATTAAATTCAATCAACGAAAATATCATAACTTTGAAATCAAAATAATACGAAACGTTCACTACGCGCTCGTCGTGCTGCCTTTTCAAAACATCGTTTAAATTGTCCTCAGAACAGTTATAAGGCGCGCGCACTCACGTTAAGCTAAACTGGCTCTATGCATCGCGTATCAATATTAACGAAATGAAATTGAAAATAATTTGGTCGAGAGACTGACAGAGAAAAAACGAGAGAGCGAAAAAAAAATAAAAACAGGCACCGTGTCACAGTCTCATAATTCAAATTTAAAACGTTAAAAACCCGATTTTCAAACCACATATGATTGTGCACATTGATTCCAGAGTGTAAATAAAAATGATATTGTATATGAGTTTGAGCACGATTTGAGCGATGAGTTTCGAATAGAGCCGTCGGCACAAAATCGTTACTCTGCTTCGATCAACGAGAACAAATTTTTATAACTAAATATGTGTTGTCACTTTTAATGTTATTAAACCAATTTAAGTGTTTTTTTTTCTGTTATATTCAGTTTACTAGTAGCTCTCTCGTGTTCGGTTATTGTGCGGTTTATTCGGTTCCACACTTCGTTTCCAACAACGAATATTATATTTCCATCCATGTGTGTATAGACGGCATGTTGCTCTGTTACAACGCAAACATGTTAATGGTATGAGCTTCGTATCAATACTGAAAAGACAACGCTTTATCGTATATTCTATTGCTCGGTTGTTGTTGTTGTTGCTTTTTTTCTTCTCTGTTCATTTCTCAATCGGAGAATTGCGTTCACGTTGTCGGTTCGTCAGTGATGTGAAGGAACTACAAATACATTGATAATCATATAACATACTGCAGTTCAGTACACACGCATTTCCCTCTCTGACTCACTGTATTGTCCATCAAAATCCACTCGAATCTCAAAGCTGAATACATCAAATGCAACCATACAGGAACTCCTGATACGCGCTTTATGTTTTCTTCTCTTCTTTTGCTTTTTTTGGCTTAGTTTCTTTCTCCTCCCTTTCTCCGCCGCACGCATTCGGATATTTCTCTCTCTATTTCTTTATCTCTCTCTCTCTCTCTCTCTCTCTCTCTCTCTCTCTCTCTCTCTCTCTCTCTCTCTCTCTCTCTCT